GAGAAGGTATATATTGATTCCTGAGAATGATTGTTACTTTTTTGTGACTAGTATAAGTTAACGTGTTAACTTTTTTTAATCTTACTTAGGGGTAGTGAGTGTGTTCAAAGGTTGGATAATAGTAAATCGATCCACAAGGCTCAGGTATAATTAGAACTCAAGTAGTTCGTTTGATACTATTTTAAACTTATTAAGTTTAAGTATTATCCTGGGTCAGGTAAGAGAGGGGGGGGGGGGGGGTCAAGTGAAGGATGAATAACCGAAGTTCTTCACTTTTTATCCTAATTAGAATGGTTAGTGTGATTTAATAATTTCTATTAGTCTTAGGTCTTAAGAAAAGGTTGGATAGTGAATCGACGTTTGAGGTCGTTAGACCCTTTGCTAAATGTGTGGGGGAGAAGAAAATTGTTCTTTTTGATTTAAGGATAAGCCTTGATGATCAGAATACAAAATTAATGAGATTATTTTTAAATTAGGTAAAAGTGGATTAAAGATCCAAAGAAAGCCTTGATGATCTTTTAAGTTTAAAAGGTTTGATGTAAGTGAAAATAAGAAATAGGATAGGTTAGGCCTCCATGTTTTAAATGAACTTTAGTTTATAAAAAGTTTTAGTTTGTTTGTTTTTAATGATGTTAGTGGATTTATGATTTGCTGTTATGTTTTAGGTGATGAAGTTGAGATGAAGAGATAATTTATATATTACTAACACTTTGTGAGATTACTAACTAATTTTTAATTTTTTTTTTAATAAACATTTTTTCTAGATATCTTTTTAAAATTACTGCAGATTAAAGGCAACGACTAGGAATGTTTTTATCAGTCGTTATTGTAAAATAATAGGTTTAGCGCTTGTGATTGTCGGTGAAAATTTTTCTTTAAGGATACTATTTTTGCAAATGAAAATCTAAATTCATTGCTAATAAAACTCTAATTATAAAAGTTTGTGTTGGCTTTTGCCGTACGACAATGAAACTTATGGGTAAGATCCGTTGTAGTCGTATATCGTCTCTTGTCCGAGGTCGTTCTCCAATACCGGGTAGTTCTCGTGTCGTTCGGAATAATGGCTCTGATCTATTGAGTCGTAGAAACATTTCAATTAAATTATTATCGTGTAGCGTTTTTGAGAATGTTTGTCTACGTCTAATCTGTTTTTGGTTAGTTCTAAGCTATTTTATTCCTTAAGGTCTTATTCGAGACTTATGGTCGCACCAGATGGTTTGGGACTTATCTCTAACTCATAGAGTAATTTCAGATAGGGTACACCGTCTGCTCGTCACGCTATCTTTTTTTCGGCCGGATAGATTCGTGCAACTTCTTAGTCTAATACCGATCTTAATCTTACTCTTATATCTCTTAGTCTCAATAGATCTAGAGTATTTTGGTTTTGTTACGAGTCGGCCTCTTGGAAAAGGCAACTAAGTTATAAGTTAAATTCAATATGCTCTGGTGCTGAAATTACAAGTAATTTCAGTACTTACAAATAAGTGGGTTGTTAGTTAGATGGAGTGTGATTGGTTAGTCTTTAATATTTTATAGGGATAAAATATCTAATTTATAACCAATAATAATATATAGTTTGGATCGGGTTCCAGAACCTATGGTGCTGTAGGTGTTACTTGAAATAATTTTTTTTTTGATTATCCAGATTTTGTTGAACTTCTGTTTTTGAGAAGAGGGAAGGAATATGAGCTTAAACTATAAAAAATTATACTGATACGTTAGTATCGTATCAATACCGAAATAGGATTTTAAAATAATATTTATTGGCAGTGGATTTATAAGGCGTTATCCTCTATTCACTCACTCCGCTGAGAAAGGGAGCCTGAAAATGAAAAAAAAAAAACTGTACAGTTTTTCTCGAAACCGGAGAACAACTAATTAGGCTTTAACATGGCACCGCACTCTTGATCCCCTTGACGAGTTTATTTTGAAATCGCCAAACAGGCCTCTCAATCTAAAAAGCCCTTGCTTATCACAAAAAGAAACAAAATAACCGGCCAAAAACTGCTCAAAATTCTATTTGCCATAATATATCACCCAATTCCAATCATATCTGAATTCGAAACTGGTTTCTATGCTGTGCTGAAGTCATAATTTCTAGATTTTTTATCTAGAATGTTTTATACTACAATCAAACACTTAGTTAAACTTAAACTTTTGACTCTTATTTGAATAAATCGGGGGTGTAACCAGGGGCGGATTTAGGGGGCGGGGATTCGGACCTTTCCCTCCCTCACGGATTCGACCCCCCTGACTACCCAAAGGGTCCCCCTTTGTACTGTTTTGAAAAATTCATTTTTGGTGAGGGACCCTGAAACTTTTCTAATATATACTAATTTTGAGGGGGGAGCGCGCGCCGAAAAAAACGCATTTTTTTTGGTAAAATCTTTCCAAAATGTGCCTAAAAACGCTTTTTTTTGGTCTGTTTTTTTTTACAAAAGTTCATTCGATCAAAATAAATTGTTGAAGTTGTCGCAATCAATTAAAAAATTATCTCGGTTTTTATGCATAAGGTTGTCTAGAGAGTTAAACACTATATAATTAATTAGAGAGTTAAATAGTGTCCGTATTCGCACAGAAATTAATTTTTTGTTATTTCGTGTTAAATTTTTTGTCTTATTACATTGTTCTCGACTTCTTATATTAGAGAGTAATTTCAGCAGTTCGTGTACTTGTAATTCACTGATTGAGCAATTTCCATGCGTTTTTCTTATTTTCCTTATTTCTTGTGTTTTTTGAAGCGATATGAATTTCGAATGTAAAAATTTTGTTGTATTTTTCAAAGCGGTCATATTGGCAAATCCGTATACTAAAACACCGTAATGATTTATTTGTTATTTGAAGTGCTTGTAAATTCTAATGAGGACAGATGAGCTGAGAAACTGTCGTGTTTGATAAAAACATGTATTTGAAGTGATTGCATTTTTTTCTTACTGATTCCTTATGTTGTTTGAAGGTAAAATTTTGAATCAAAAATAGTCACAGGTATTTGACTGTAGTTTTTAGTTCTATCCTGTTATGATTGCAGGTATAACTTTCAAATTTTAATTCCATTGGTAATCATTATTTGGGTTTTACCTTTGTTTGTTGTAAGTCAATTACTTTCCATCCTTTCTGATTTTAATTCCAAACCTGTTCTGAGTTCTTTAGTTTTGTTGAGTGGTCCAAAGATATTTGGGTCATCCGCATAAAGAAAACATTCACTGTGATGTGGTATGTTGGAAAATTCATTGCTATAAATAAGAATAAGCAGGGGACCCAAAACAGAACCTTGAGGTACACCACAATGAAGCTTCTCTGTGGTTGAACAATTGTTCCAATGAAAGACATACTAGTTTCTATTGCTGAGGTAACGTTTCAGGAAATTGAGAGGAACACCTCTGAGCCAGTAAAGGCGACACGTATCGAAAGCCTTAGATATATCTAAGGGTGTGCAGTGCGCCAATTTATCAGTATTTTTGATTACAATAAGAACTTCTATAGTTTCCAGAATATCATCAAATGTAGAGCATTTGTTGCAAAATCTAAACTGGTTTTTTGCTCAAGACGTCAAACTTATTGAAAAAAAATGTTTATTCGGTTCGATAACATTTTACCAAAATCTTTTTCTAAAACTGGAATTTTAGAAATAGGTCTATAATTATAAGGAAAATACTTGTCTCTTTCTTTGAAAAAAGAAGCTAGTTTTGCTGTTTTAAGACAACTGGGATAAGCTGCTTCCTTGATAACCTGGTTAAGAATACTGATCAAATGAGCTGTTACAATTGGGATAACATTTTAAATAGGCAATTTGAGAGACCCAAGTCAACTTCAAACTTTTTGTAGGGCAGTTGCTTTAGTGTGTCATAAACTTCCTGTTTATCAATATGTGACAAGAAGACAGAATTTGTATTTGCAATAATTTTGGAAAAACTCTTCTGTTTTTCAAATCCAGATGACAAAGCAGGACCGATTGTGACGAAGTAGTCGTTCAATTTTTGTTCAGTTATAGGTTTTTCTTCGGTATTTGAACGTTTTTTTTATCGCCTTAACTTTTTTCTCATAATCAAAAATAAAATTTATTGGGTTGTCCAGTGTTTTCAAAGAATAGGCGATGGTTAAAACCTTCTTAATTTTCTGCTAATATTTTTTTTACTTGGACAGTTCGCTTTAGCAATCACATTTTTAGCCCTCATAGTTTTGATATCATTCGTTCTCCAGCTTTTTTTGATTTTGTTTTTCTTCTTGACAATGGTTACATTGCATCCAGTGTTGTGAACTTGCTGCTGCAGTACCAATTGCATTATCTTCAAACTCAATTTCGATTAGTTTTTTTTGTATAAACCAGTTGAACTCAAATTTGAATTCCTGCTTTTGAAGTTTTTCTTAATTTCTACAATTAAAATCTTCCTTTTCACATTTTTTATGAGTCCAATGCTGAAGTTTTTGAACACCATAAAGATCAGTGGTTGTGTGTTCAATAGTTTTAGTGGTGCATGGAAAATATGCAAAGGGCAAATCTATGGCTGTTCGAGAGTTCTTTGTATTACGCGTGCTGTCATTTGGCCCAGATATCAGATTAAAATCAAGCAGTTTCATTTTTTCGATGAGTTGCGTGCTATTTTGTGTCACAACAGATAAATCTATGTCAAAGTTTCTATATATTTTATATTTATTTTTAGTGTCAGTTTTTAATTCCAACTTATGGGTCAAAAAAATTTCATGAAAATTCTCATTTTTTGCTTTGGAAGACTTATGAACCGCAGTTAGAAACAATTTCTGTTTGTTACAGATCGTCGAGTAAATGATCGGAAGTATAATAGTTTTCTTTTAATTTGATTTCAAGGAGTCGATATCTTGAAGGTGGTAAGAAAGTTGTTTTGTTAGAAACTATTAATTCGATCGCCGAAAACTGACTGAATCAAAACAACCACCACAAGCATAAATATTGCGTTTTCTCGGAAAGTCGGAACAAAAACTCAGGACATCAACTATGTCGAGAGTTCAAGGTGATTCAATTTTCACGTCAGATAACAAAGAACGTTCGCACGCTTTGATCCACTCCCATCGAAATCGTTGATGTGGAATTTGTATTGAGGACCAAACATGTGACACAGATAGCCTACATGGTTTTCTGCTTCAAGACCGTTAGGCTCGCCGACTGCCCAGTTGGTCAAGTTCACCTCTCTCCCAGTGAGCTGGTCCACCCACTTTCCCTCCTCTACTGAATCAGAAAAAGCGAGCCAGTACCACCCAGCATATCTGAACAAATTAATCGATTCATTATTCAGGCGCCCATTTCATTTGACACGGTAATTTTTTTGACATTGATTTCCATTATTTCTAACTCTTTATTTTCGGTATTAACAAGCTTTTACCTTAAATTAAGAAAATGAAAACTGAATGCAAAACGAGGTTTTTCCAAAAATCAACGTATTACAAATTAAAATTTCAATTACAAAGCAAAACTAATTAGAGTTGGTTTTTTCTCTCGTCGCTAAAACAGCCTTTTTAAAATGCTTTTTGGAGATTAATTAAATCAAGGAAAAAAACACCGTAGGACAAGTTTCTTACCAGTCTGTGACAGTTGTCGAAATAAATTAAAGCGCCATTGACGGTTTTAAAGCTCGCATAACTGTTGCGTGTGGACTAACATTTTCGAAGGTGGGACTGTATTCACTGCCTGCTCCACTTCTCGGGTGTAATAGTTGGGCAAAAACCCTCCCATTCCTTCGCAATACTCTTTCGCGTCTTCGTAGATCATTGTTTCACTGGCAACGTGCACAGCTTTGAAGCCTAGGCTGTTGGGTCCTGCCGCTCTCCAGATATCTGGATTCAAACAAGCGCCTTTTATTTCGGTTAGTTCGGGCTTGTTTGGGTCGCAACGACACTGGAATCCGCCGATGACTGAGTCATCGCAAATTTGAGTCCTGTGACATGGGTTGTCGACATTGGGACATTGTTCTTTACCTGTCAGGATTATGTGGTCAGCCACGTCTCTGATAAAAACAATTTAAAAAATCAATTTGATAAAGAGGAATTGGCTATAAGCTGTCAATTCATCGCTCATCAGTCTGAGGGTGATTTCCATTTTCGCTATTATTCATTTTCAGTACCAAAATTACCAAAACTCCCTAAACTTCCATTGTAATTCTTGGTTTTTTTACTCCCATACTATGGAAGGTAGTTTTCGAGAAAACTCAAATTGTTACTCTTAGATAAAACAGGATTACATTTTTATATTTTTATGATGTTTTTTTTGAGATGCATAGGAAAGTTCACTAAAAATTTTTTTTTCAAGAACTGCTTGGCGAATTTTAAAAAAATAGTACCAATGGAAAGACCCACAAATACATTATGTGCCTGCATATTGCCCTAGTCTCTTCACCTCATTTCACTTCCAACGGCCTTCTAAATGGGGAATTTTTTTGATTTTTCTGCGAAACTACACCGCCAAATCTGAGATTAATAGTTCAATCGAAAAAAAAACAGTTAACGGAGATATCCGCTGCTATTCATAAAACTGGTCTTTCCCGAGATTATCGGGTCTCTATATTGAAATTAGTCATAGGATCCTTTCTTGCTCGCAGCTAAAAGCTCAATTGATTTTCGACTTTTGCAACTCAAATCGATTAACAGCACTTTGAAATTACTTGCACAAGAAAACAAGGACAACCCGTTACTGTGCAAGTAGCACAGAACGTTCCGACCAGTCTTAAAAAATAGAAAAAATGTTGTCTCAAGTTGGTTTCGTTTTTTTTCTTCATGTTGTGATAAAAAAAATCTGAACAAAAATTAAAACTCAGGCATATTTGAGATTCATAGTAAAATAGGTCAATTGGAAAAAAAATTTGAAAAAAACTCAAGTTTTTGATACCAAAATTTCAAGTTTTTGATTCTGAAATTTGCGCTAAAAACCTCCAAAAATACCTTTATATGAGAAAAATTATTTTTTCACGGCTTAAATTAAGCTTAAATAAGCTATTGCAATCACTAACTATCTTCCTATTTAGCTCGAAATTAAACCAAAAATCAAAAACTTCATACCGGTTTTTCTCAACATTGTAAGAACTCTTGTGATGTTTTAAATCCGTTCAAATCAAGACTGAAAGGGCTCCAATATCAACCCTGTCCGATGATTATTTGTGGTAGCTGATCTTACGTGGAAAACAAAAAGAAAAAACTAAATTACACCTGAATACAAAGTTCCTTCCCATTTTCAATGGTCGGAACAATAACCCCACTCACAAGCAGGCAGATTTCGTGGCGGCTCTTTCCCACTACCCCACCTTTCAAAATATCGATTTTTATGTTTGTTTTACGTGTTGTGCGATGCGTGATAATACGATGTAAAATATGAAGAACAAATATATTCACAGTTGTCAATTTGTTCACCATGCCAAATTTCATTGCATTTGACGTGAAATAAGCTTTTCAAAATTGAATTTGAAGGGAGACTGGAAGAGAGGCTTCGTGGCTTCACGACAGATTATATGATCACCCAAGTTCCAGTTTTACCATTTGTTATCTTTTATGATCTGGAGCCTTATGAAAACTTACCAAATATATCATAAAATTTTCTTTTTTCACCGCACCTCACATTATCATTCATTACAAAATCATTCAAAAATTAAAAAAATTTGTCGACCTTTGTTTTAGTTCTCCTAAATAATTATAAAGACACGAAATTTTTGAAAAAATAAGCCAAAAAAGGAGTTTTTAGGCAGTTTTTGGAAAATTTTGACCAAAAACTCGCTTTTTTGGCACGCGCTACCCCTCAAATTATGTATATATAAGCACCAAAGGCGCCTTAAAAAAAAATTAGGGGCCATAATCAAAAATGGATATCTCAAAATACTACAAAGGGGACAACCTTTGGGTCGGTAGGTGGTCGAATTCCTGAGGGGGGGAGGGACGCTTTAGAAAGTTTAGCAATTCTCGAACAAGTTTAAATTTTTCTCTCGCTTGCCGATTTTGAATAAGTAGTGCCATTAGAAGACCGGCTACTCACATACATACTTGTTTATTCCGCCATTGTCTTTCTATCATACCACACGTTCAAAAATTTCAATGGGGGGAGTTTTTAACCAATTTGCTTGGATTTTCTCATTTTCTCAAACAGTATCCGGCCAAATCTGAGATAGAGGGTTCAATTGAAAAAACTGGTTGCGGCATCTTCCCTCCATCTTCCCTAGAAAAATAAGGGCTTCACCGCTGATACATGGATTATCCCAATTATCAGTTCTTTAGACGGAACCCTTTGTTCTAGATTTGAGAGGGTGGGTTTTGAGAAAAGTCATAAAATTTCACAAAAACTGTCAATTGTCAAAAAATGCCCATTTCCTACCCTGAAGGAAATAACCATTTGGCGAAGCCGCTGAAGCCTGAAGGACAATCTCAGCCAATTCTTTCGATTGAACTTTTTTTTTTCAGGTAGGAAGAAAGTGATACCAACGGAAGATCTTTCCGTTGGTATCACTTTCTTTAAAAACCGGTGAATTAGTGTAGAGAAAAACTAATTTTTTTTGGGGGAAAGGCGAAAAAAATACAAACGTCAAAACAGTATAGATTAAAAACAACAAATGCCAAACATTTTCATGATACCAATTTTCATTGAACCGGATTGTTGCAAGTTGATCCTTTCCGTAGTTAAATAGTCTCAGTCCGAATCTCAAATACAGCTCTTATCTATATAAACACTAAGAATCTTGACAAACATAGAGTATCTCATTTGCTTCCAAAAACGCATTCGAAATCAACACAGATGATTAGGATCTTAAACCTAGACCCTGATAGTTTGAAAAATACTTAATTGGAAAAAAAAAACTAGGAGATGAATTGAAATGATTCTTAATCAAATCATCAGTAATTTAATGCTCCGAAAGGTTCGAGCAACGCGCAGCTTTAGGTCCATTTAATTTCTCAACTTACTTGCATTTTTCTTTCGACCGCCCATACACTTGACACATCTTCACATTGTCAAAGTCTTCTATCTCGACATGAGTAATGTCCTTTTTGGTCAAAATCAACCCGCAGAAATTACCTTCGGCACAATACAAATAAGAGTCAGCCTTGATCATCGATGCTTTGTAGTGACAGCCTGATTCTGACTTCCCTGTATAGTAAATATTCAACAGTTGTTTTCCGAACTGCTTCGGCACTGAGATTCCACAACTGAACAAGTTATTCCTGCATTCGGATTCGATTTCAAGCGCCCAAGTGACATAAATGTCAAAAAGAAGAAAACTGATTAGAAATTTAACTCGGCTTGTGAAAGTTTTAGCTGTCATTTTGTTCTTACGACCAAGTAATGCAATTGAAAATGTTCTTTACTAGGTTTCAAAGATCTTCCCTTTAATGTGATATAACGAAGCAGGTGTTTTAAGTCAATCATCTAATAGATATAAAACATATATCCGGATGGAGAACTTTTTGATTAAAGAGAATTTTTGTTACTAAATGAAGTGAACATACGCAAAAAAAGTTCCAACACAGCAGGACAATCTATTATTTAAACGCAATGATGAATCCTCCGCAGACGGAGGGCTTAAGAAGCTGATTTTATGCAGATAACGACTAACGAAACTCGTTCAGTATATTGTTATGACTCTGAATGAACCTTTCAGAGTCGTTTAATTTTAAAAAGCATGCGCGATATTGTCAATAGTTGAATTGGTAATGCCGAATTGAAAGGAGCTCTTTAACTAAACTTATAACATAACGAATCTCGGCTCTTACCCATTACAACAACATATCGAAGCAAACTAAAACTCCTAAAACACTAAAACTCCTATAACATTTTTTATAAAAAAATTCCCCGTTTCACAAATAACTGGGTTATTGAAGTGACTATTTCTGAAGTAGGCAGAAAAAATGTGCCATATTCTGATGATATAAATCAATGAGTTTGGTTGATTTTTGTTCATGCATGTTTTCGTGATTTAAATAAGTTTTACTGAGTTTTGGACTGAACAAGCTCAGGGGCGGATCTAGAATTTTCTCGAGGGTGCGTGGTTTTTCAAGAAAACTATTGAAAAAATTTTGTCGACCTATTTTTTAGGTCAACTAAATTGATTTTTTGACTTGTCCCAAATCACTAAAAAGATTCTATTTTACCAAATTTTCTGCGCCTCAGGTAAAATTAAAAAAAAAACAGTCCAAAACAGGGGCTGTTTTTTGCCCCCCCCTCCCGCTAAATACGCCCCTGAACAAGCTACCCCGTAGTGACAAAAATGGATAAAAATCGATTATCTATAAAAAATATAAACAAATTTTAGATTTGTTGTACTTTTATATAGTAAAACTTCGATTATGTAGTTTTGATAATTGATTATAATGCTTTTTGTTTTGCAGAAGTTTTATACTCAATATCTTCATTATCTAATCATTGCCAAAACTTTCTTAAACTGTTTTTCTGTATCCAATTTTATGCATAATATAAACAGATTATATACATAATAACTAAAGATTATCTACAGATTATCTACAGATTATCTACAGATTATCTACAGAATAGATACTGATTATATACAGATATACTATAGATTTTCTCAAAATTCTCACCAATGAGATAGAATGAGTAAATTGAAATAAAATTAAAATGTGAGCCTTTTATTGAAATTTTTTTGTACTGATGTTTGATCTCAAAAAATGTTATCTTTCTTATTGTGTAAATAAATTGCAGCAGAAAGCAAATTGCTCTATATTACTTTTCTAAATTTTCATCTCAATGTTTATCATTTTGGCCAACAATTATGAGGAAAAAACTGCTTGGAGTTTTACCAGCTATTTTATGGTTCAAAATTTGTTGCAACATTTCGAACCAAAGTTAGAGTCTTAATACAAGTCAATTCATTTGGTTCAGAAATATGAAGGTAAATAGAGTCATTTAGTAGTCTTCTTTCTGTTTCTTGCTCGCAGCTGAAAGCTCAATTGATTTTTGAGTTTTGCTACCCAAATCGATTAACAGCACGTTAAAATTACTGAAACAAGAAAACAAGGACCACCGGTTACTGTGCAAGTAGCACAGAATGTTCCGACCACAGTCTTGAAAAATACAAAAATATTTTCTCAAGTTGGTGTCGTTTTTTTTTCTTCATGTTGCGAAAAAAAATCTGTACAAAAAAATAAAACTTAGGAATATTTGAGATTCATATAAAAATAGGTCATTTGGAGAAAAAAAATTTTGAAAAAAAATTTCAATGTTTTTAAAAAATTTTCGCGGAAATTTTTTGAATTATCAAGTTTTTGAATTCAAAAGTTGCGCTAAAAACCTCCAAAAATACCTTTATATGAGTGAAATTTATTTTTCACTGCTTAAATTTAACTTAAATAGGCTATTGCATTTACTAACTACCTTCTTAATTAGCTTAAAATTAAACCAAAAATCAAAAACTTTAAACCGGTTTTTCTCAACATTGTAAAAACTTTTGTGATATTTTAACGCCGTTCGAATCAAGATTGAAAGGGTTCCAATATCAATTCTGTCCGATGATTATTTGTGATAGCTGATCTTGCGTGGAAAACAAAATTAAAAAGTTAAAACACACTCGAATACAAAATTCATCCAAATTTTCAATGGTCGGAACAATTACCCCACTCACAAGCAGGCAGATTTCATGGCGGCTCTTTTCCACTACCAGCACCTTTAAAAATATCAATTTTTATGTTTGTTTTGCGTGTTGTTATGGCTAAATGCGTGATGTTATATTCCGGTTGTCATTTTGTTCACCATGCCAATTTTCATGCATTTCGAGTTAACCTCCTTTTTTCCCAGAGTAGGAAGATAGTCTGAGAAACTACAAAAATTGCGTCAAACATTCTTTCACTGATTTTTTCGAAGGCCATAGAAACTTGAGTAAAACAAAAAGAGACTAGGAGAACATGCAGGCACACAGAATAAAATCAGATCTTTCTGTTGATATTACTTTCTTTAAAAACGGGTAAGTTAGTGTTTGAGAAAAATTAATTTATTTTGTAAAAAGCGAAAAAAAAACACTCAAAAAATAGATTAAAAACAACAAACGCAAAATGTTTTCATAAAGACAATTTTCATTGAGCAGGAATGTTGGTCCTTTCTGTATTGAAATAGTCTCAGTCCGAATCTCAAATACAGCTCTAATCTGTATAAACACTAAGAATCTTGACAAACAAAGATAATCTCATTTGCTTCCAAAAACGCATTTGAAATCAACACAGATGTCTAGGATCTCAAACCTAGACCCTGTTAATTGGAAAAATGTTTAAATTGAAAAAACTCTAGGAGAAGAATTGAAACGAGTCTTAATCTGTTCCAAAACAGTCCAATTTCATGCATACTATAAACAGATTATATACACATCATCTACAGATTATCTACAAATTATCTACAGAAAAGATACTGAGTATATACAAATTATATACAGATTTTCTACAGACTATATAATTTTATATACTCAGATTTTCTACAGATAGACTACAGATTTTCTCAACATTCTCACCAATGAGATAGAATGAGTATACTGAAATAAAATTATAATTTTAGCTTTTTATTGAAATTTTTGTACTGATGTTTGATCTCAAAAAATGTTATCTTTTTTATTGTGTAAATTGGTTGCAGCAGAAAGTAAATTGCTCAATATTACTTTCCAAATTGGAGTTTTACCAGCTATTTTATGGTTCAAAATTTTTTGCAACTTTTTAAACAAAAATTAGACTCTTAATACAGGTCAATTCATTTGGTTCAGAAATCTAAAGGTAAATAGGGTCAATTAGAAGTTTTCTTTCGTAAATAAAACAAAGGGTAACTTTGATAACTTTTGTGGTTTACAGCACCAATTTTTACAAGTTACGTCATGAATACAACCAAACTCTTAACGAAAATTCAACTTATTTCAAAATTTCATAGCTTATATAGCTTCATTGCACTTTTTTCCGCTGACCGAATTGTTGTAAGAAGTAACATGTTCATAGCATAAATGGCTTCAAAAGAAAAACATAAGCCTTAAGTCTTCCGATTTTTACAACTTGATTTTTCTCAGTTTTTCTTTGCTCGAGTGGCTCAAAAAACATCCAAACTTTGCCATTCGATTCGCTTCTCTAAACAATTTAAAATACTCTAAAGTTTCCTTGCTTCAATTGCGTGCTGAAAAAAAAACTGATTTTTCCAGATCAGTTCATTGTATGAAATAACTTGAAATGTTCCTGTTTTTCCTTGCGTGAAGAACCTAAATAGAAAAACTGGAATAACTCACCATCCAGTTTCAAATAACTAGTAACATTTCTAAATTTCATCGCTTGGACTCAGTAGAAAAACGTCAACATCTCGCCATTCGATCAGCATCATGAACTAACTTGAAACGTTTCAAAATTTTTTATCTTAAATAGCGTACGTTTTTTTGCCACCCGAATTAATACAACTTGTCATCATCAGGTTTCCCGCCATCTAGTTTCATATAGTTTGAAAACTTTGAAGGTTTTTTGTTCGATTGGCTCAAAAGAAAAACTTCAATTTCTCGTTATTCGATTCGCTGTATGAAACAACTTGAAACAGTTCAAATTTTCTTAGCGTGCCTCGTTTGATGAAATGTACATGACTTTTTCACGGACCGATTTTTCATATAAGGTAATCTGAAGTACCTAAACTTTTGTTCAAGGTTTGATAAGGTTCAATGAAAAAATTCAATTTTTCTTTATCCGATTCGCAGCGTTTTAAAGTTTCATTGCTTGATTAATTTGCTTTGAAAAATTTGTGTTTCCTTTGCGTAGTGATTTTGCCTGTAAACTAACTTGATTTATTTTCAATTTTTTAGGTACGTTGCTGAGAAACATTTGATTTCTTCACGGACATATTGACTGTTTGAAAGAAGTTGAAAAATTTCAATTTTTCTTGGTTTGATTGGCCTCGGTTGAAAACTTTGAACAATTAACCCATTGATTTTGATAACTTGAAAATTTTCAATTTCTGTGGCTGATTGGCTCAATAAAATACGTCAACTTCTCGCCATTTGAGTCGCTTCATGACTTAACTTACAATATTTCAAAGTTTCATAAATTGAATAGCTTGATGGAAAAATGAGTCGGTCTGAAAATGAGTCGATTGGAAAAATGAGTCGGTCTAAAAACTTGACTTGTTTCAAAAACTATAGCTTGAAAACCTTGCTCGAAAAAACTCGAATTTTTCACGTACCGATTCGCTGTATAGAAAAAATTGATGTGCCTCAAATTTTGATAGCCTAAATAGCTTTTTGATAAGAACTTGAGATTTTAAGAAAATACATTGATTGATTGGCTCAATGGAAAATCTTCATCGTTTCGCCGCTCGATTTGCTTCATAAAATCAATGGAAAAAATTCAAAATTTTATAGTTGAACAAGTTGCTGAGAAAAATTTGAAGTTTTTGGATATTGGTCCAGCCTAAAAAAAGTTTGACATCTTTGATAGATTTCTAGTTTGAAAACATTGCTCGAAGAAAATTGACGTTTTTACGCAGCGATTCGCTGTATAGAAAAATTGGAATTATATCAAGTTTTTGTAGCTTAAATAGCTTAGTCATAAGAACAAGAAATAGATTTTTCATTGATTCAAAGCATGAAAACCTTGCTTGAAAAAGACTTGTGTTTTTTCATGGACCATATCTG